TTCAGATACAGCCTTCAGCTTTTTTGTTTTGTTTTGTTTTTTGAAGTTGCAGATGAACACAACACACAATATCTTTATTTTATTTATTTTTATGTGGTGCTGAGGATCGTTCCCAGTGCCTAACACTTGCTAGGCAAGCACTCTACCACTGAGCCACAACCCCAGCCCCAGTTTTCAGCTTTTATGTTCTTCAGGGTCACCTCAGATTTCAAGATAAAGACACAGTATCTCCAGGGGAGCACCTAGCGTATCACTGGGAGAAGCAGGGGGTGTCAACAGCATACCATTTTCTACACACACAACTTCCAGCCAGTGACCAACCAAGGTGGAGATACAAGACGTAGTTGTTTCTGTCCAAGTCAGGGCTCCTCTAATAAATACTTTGCTCTAGAGCTTCCTGGCAGGGTGGTAGAGATTATGTCAATCTGTATTGCAATCCAACAAAAAGCTTAAGTGCTCCATCCAACAATTCCTTGTCCTTTCAGAGGTGCAATTTCAATACACATCTTTATACTTCATCTCAGTCTCAGATTGGCTCAATTGGTATCAGTGGTTCAATCACATATATGGAAAGACAATGTTTTGAGACTGGCTGGTTATGAGCCTCCATCCCTAGTGAAGGTGAGCACAGAGCGCCCCAGGCATGAAGAAGCTGTCTAGTTAGTAAAATTCTAGATGGAGTGGTGAAAGGGAGTGCCATGACTGGTGGGTAAATCTGTTGCCTCAAATATGGGGGGAAGTATGGATACTAAATTCAAGAGCAATAGAGTAGAATGGTTATTACCCAGTTGGATGGATGTCCTACAGATAGTATTGAAAAGCTCAGGTCAATTAACAGACAACTTAAAAACAACTAAGAGCCCGTCTCTCTGTGGTCAAGTCCTCATCTCTTACAGCAACTAAACAGAAAATTCTGAAGGTCAAGCACAGACTTTGGTGGTAAAACTAGCTCACTACCAATGTCCAACCAAGCCCAATCTGTGACATCAAAGTCAGAGTCAAAACTGGGGACCTAATTCCCATCATGGGGACAATTTGGGGGATGCTCCCAACAATTTTGATTCCCAAGAGTCAGAATGTTTCTCAACATGCTCAGTATGCAGAAGAGACCCACCCTTCCTGACTAAGCTAGAACTACTCCCGCCCCCTTCTGCTATCCTACCATAAGGAAAGACTGTGTTCTTTCCACCATAAGGCAACAGGTGTCCTACAGGAGCTGTCCCCATCCCTTGTCAGGACTGCTAGGCTTAAAATCAGAGCTAAGTCACAACTCACCTTCTGGGGTTGTGTTGCTCTGGTGAGGGAAGAAATGGATTGCACTGGGAAGGGCACAGGAGCAGCCTTGGGACTAGATTCTGGGGGTGCCTGACTAAAGATGCGGGGTTTATAACACTAGATAAGGGAGAATTTCTTGAGCTGGGAACAACTCTAAAGATACACAGCATTTAACACCATGAGAAAAACACCAGAAGACAGTGTGAACTCACTGCTCTGGGCTGGCTCACAGAAGCCTAGAAAAGTGAGAGAAGTGTTGAAATGCCTGAATTTGCTGGTCAGATAACAGGAAGGAGTGAAAGATCCCAGAGAAGGGGGCATGCTGGGATGGGTATGTGAGGCAAAATGGCCATCAGAGGAAGGTTTCTCTGGGGAAGGTCACAATGACCCATTACTTACCAAGGCTATTGGGGGTGACCAGGAGAAGGACGTGAGTACTTCTCAGGAGCTCAGTGGTGACTCTCCTATACAGTCCATATTGGCTGGAAGTGCTGTGATGGAACTTGGTTTGCTGAGTCAATGTGGACGATGCTGAGACCCAGAAGAGCCCAGGGGGCAATGCTAACTACAGCAGCCAGGGCGACACCATTATTCTGTTGAACACCAAGCTCAAAATGGCAGATACATACAGGGGTCCTGACTTGTAAAATCTTATGGAGATGCTTAATAGGACATGGTATCCCTAGCAACCAAACAGAAAAATCAACAGGGTAATGCTTTATATATAATCAAAAGAGGGCAAGGTGAATGAGTAGGGGCTGAGAGAGAACACAGAAAAAAATAAAATAAAATAACAAACACCAGGAATCCTTGCCCAGTTTCCAGAGCTGAGCCAGTTTTCCAAAACTCATGATGGAAGAGATGACTGGGCCCCAGCGGAAAGGTTTCTACAACATTTCCACCATTTCTGTGGGTGTACACAGTTAAGATTACTCCAGCCTGCCTCTAAAGGGACATATGACCATTTACTTAGGTGGCTGCACACTGGGGAAAGAGGAATACCTGGGTATATGGGGGTTAAATTAGCATTTAAGCCAGGTGCAGTGGCACACACCTGTAATTCAAGCAACTTGGGAGGCTGAGGCAGGAGGATCGCATGTTTGAAACCAGCCTCAGCAACTTACCAAGGCCCTAAGCAAAAAACCAAAACAACAACAACAACAAAAACGAGGGCTGAGGATGTGATTCAATAGTTAAGTATTCGAGTTTAATACCCTGTACCTAAGCTAATAAATACATAACTAACAAAATAAATAAATTTTGAAACCCATAAACCCAAAGTTTAATTATGGTTCCTCATTCCCCATAGAACTGGGAACACATGGAAGTTGGAAAATAGACATAGTGCTAGTCTAAGTTTGGCTTATATCAGGTCCCTTGAATCTATAGACTTACCACTGGTTATTTCCCTAATTCCTAAGAGTATAATTGGCAGGTAGAATAAACACATTGGCTCTCTGACCTGGTGGGGAAAGAGCATAAGCCTCTAAATCTCCTCTTCCTTGATCAGGGCAGTAAATCAAGATTAGTGCAGCCTTCAGCAATGTTCTTAAAGACCCCCTCATGGGAACATCTGCTTCTGGCCATGATGGTGAAATAGGAACTCAATTTACCTTCCATCTTAAACAACCAAAAACCTAGAGAAAACACACATAACAATGTTTTACTGACATTGAAAGGTCACAGCATAAGAGTATGGACTCAGAGAAGAAGTTGGGGACCGAAATGAGTTGAATGATCACTCAAGCTAATATCGGCTTGAAGGCAGTTTCTAGGCAGCAGCTGAGGAGCTTGAAGCCAAACACAGACAGTAGTCTCCTGAGTCGAGGAAACAGAGAACAGGATTATAGGAGACCAAGTGGGCAGACTTTGTGCAGCACAGTAAATGAGAAGAGGAACAAGCATACAGAAAGAGAGATCTGCTCTGTAGATCTGCAGTGGGTCCCTTTGTGTATTTGGCTGAATGAAAGTAAAAGGAGAAATTACCCAAACCCAGAAATAAATGACTGCAAAGTAGTTGAACAAATAATTCACAGATCATGCATGAAACTGGAATAGTTTGTTTCCAGTGACAAGAGGAGAAATAATTCAGAATGTGTGTGACATCAAGTAGAATCTTTTAGGGAAAAGAATGGTCCCTTAAATTGTCCCTAGATCAAAAGCTTCTCTGGACTTCCTCTAGCAAAGCTCAAAAGCAGACTTTGAAAGGATCAATTTAATTCCAAGAAATTTAGCAGTCCATCAGAATAAAGCCCAATTCTATTTAAAGGAATAAAACAAAATCTATCAACAAACAAAATAGTATTCAACAAACAAAATAGTATTCAAAATACCCAACATCCATTTAAAAAAATCAGTAAACCCAGGATAACAGAAAAATATGATTCATAATTAGAAGTGAACCTAGAAGTGACAGATGTAAAGGAATTACCAGGTTGGATCATGTGATATGGGTAGTCCCTATGGTGCTAAGGTGTCATTGGTGAAAAAAAAATGAGCGTGGAATATATGACAAGACCCAATGGGAGAATCACAATGCAGATTCCTGGGTTCCAGAAGCAAGGGCGTGCTAACCACAGGAGAGAACTGAGTGCTCACAATGATGAAAATGTGAGATACCAAATGAAGCTGGTGTCCGTGCTACCCGTCTTATCTAAGTCCTATCAGAACCACCAACTCATAAAGTTAATAGGACTAGCTTCAGTCCATCATAAGGCAGAAAACCATACAGGAATGGTCACAAGCAGGGCCAGAGGACATCTGCAAGACATTGGAGCAGGTAGCCCAACCACCATGTCCCCAGGGTTGCACCTATATCCCTCCCTTCCTGTGGTTATTTGGTGAACCACTGGGCTTGGTTTATCCGTGAATTAGCTTACTGTGTTGTTGCAAGCTGAAAGTGACCCTCTTTCAAGAGTGACATTGAAAGACAACTGCAAAACAAAACAAAAACTTTTGCAATCTTTCTTCAAAAGGCCAGAATACTTGGTGGTGCATGTGGTCATTCAATCTGGGGAAGGAGAGACAATACATATGGATTCACTGTATTGGCATGGATGCAGAATCTGTAGCTATGGAGGGCCAACTGTATAATCTCATTCCCACATGAGAAATAACAGATTCCAATCAAGATTCTGCAGAAATAGCAGGGCAGAAATTAGACCAAAGTTGAAACTGTTAACAACTGACAGACTGAATGCCCATTTATTTCCAACTCACAGAAAAAATAAAGTGGAAGTAATTTAGTTCTGGGGCTTCTATTGACTACTTCATCTAAGCAGGGCTTTCTAGTTTACCCTCATGCTTCTGAGTATGATTCAGTTCACTAACATAAGCCCCAGAGAAGAATAAAGTAGCAAAACATCCTGAGGACACAGGATGTTTCAAGGATGAGTCTAGATTCTTGTTTACCTATATATCCTCCATGCCAGTAAGAAGTTCTCTTTTCTCTGCACATGTTGCATCATATTCAAACGACCAGTCAATTCATTATTCATATTTTATTCAAAAATCCATGGGACATTATGAGTTGCTTTTCCATTTACCCTTTTAGTTGGCACCATTCAGTTCTGCAAATTTCTATTTCCTTTTTGTTGAGTCCCCATCTTCCACAGCCACCTTCTGGTCTTCACTGACATTCTGTGGGTGGGTACCTAGGAAAGACCTCAACCTATCTCTTTATTCAAAAAATACACAAATAAACAAAAAGGAGTAAGTTTCAAATATTGACTTTTACAATGATTTTTATTCAAAACAAATTCAAAACCTAATATGTATCTTGTAAAATGGGGATTTTTTAATGGTTTTATAATTAGTTTTGATGTTGCTGACTTTGCCTTCAAATAAATGATTTATATATTAAGCTCAAGATTTTTTTGACCACGTACATTCTAATCCTTTTCAGGGAGCTATGGGAAGATTTCATATTCAAAAGCCAACACTTCTTTTCTAAAATTTACAAGAAAAGATCCATGTGCCCCATGTAGTAGACAATTACCCAAAAGGATAAAAATCCCTTTTACTCAGGCCCAAATGCCATACCTGGTTGTGTGAAAGGAAAGTGTTATTTCCTCAGAGAAGAAAAGGAGCCTTTAATTCATTAGGTTTGTTTTTGCCCCAAAGACATGTGTAACATGGGTATCAAAGGTTTTATTTTGTAAACCTTAGAATGACTTAACCTGTGCAGTCCAACTTTTAGATGAGATTTTCATACCAAAAAAGAAAAAAGAAAAAGAAATTGACAGCTGCACTGGATTTAGAACAAAATCTCAGTATTGTCGTCCTATATAAAAAGGCAAAACTGTTGTATGTTGCATTTTAAGTATGTGGAAGTCGGGAGGGAAGGAGAGTCTCAAGAACATTACATTAAAATAAATACTTCACACACCTTTCTCCCATATCTAAAACTGTTGAAATTCTAATTGGAGAAAATTAGAAGGTAGTTAGCAACTCAATTATTTATAAACAAATATAAAAACACACAAACCAAATGATGCAAAAAAATCTTTTTAATCTAAAAACTCATTTCCCAGGGCTAATTAATAGCCAAACCCTACCAATTTTTATCAATTTATTTGACTAACAAGAGCTATCCAGCATTTTCTTCAAAGTAAGATAATATATAATAAATTTTGGTAAACTTTTCTAAATTAGGACATAATGCTGCAGGCATTCAAGGAAAAAAAAATAGCAATATTTTTTTCTTTGGTGTAACCAAAAGGATATATCCAAAAGTTAGCAAATGTTGACATTTCAAGTGATAGAAATGGCCAAATGGAAGTTTAAACTCTGGTTACAAAACTCTTGTAAAAGGATCAGCTTCACCCACAGTTCTGTAGTGCAAGTTTTCAACTTTAATTCTGAAAAATAACTTTATTTAATAAGCAGGAAATAGATTCCATCAGTGTATCACTTACTCCTCTCCTCTGCCCTCACTTCTCCTCTCTCCCTCCAAGTCTCCACTATCACTTCAGTTCTCCAAGAAGGACTCAGCTGCTACTCAAGGAGGGAATTCACTTAAAAACTGCTCACGCTTCTAAACCTCAGGCTCTAAAAGTCGTGTGTATTTGTGGCTGCACAGCAGCAGGCACCAAGTTTCAGCATTGCCACTTTCCATGTTTTTGCCATTTTTACAAAAAAGAAACAAAGCCTTCTTCCCCCCCAGAGAAAAGTACCTGAACCAGTTAGTTGCTTAGCCTTTACCAGCCCCTGGCTAGCCCTGCCTCCCCTTGGTGAGCATAAATATCCATGTGTTCTGCATTAAGAACCAACCAACTACCACCTCTTTCTTAGAAGTAATGACTTCTCCCTTCCTAGGGAACTCACTCATTTCCATAAGCATAACGCTTTGAAAGCAGTCACCACCTAGTCCAGAAGACTCCATTACTCTACCTATTAACTCTGACTTACTTTCTATTTCTGTACAGTATTGTGTGTGAGTGTGTATTTGTTAAAAAGTGTTCAAAATGCACACACACACACACACAAACACCCAGCATTTTTGGGGGGAAAAAAACAAATCTTCCCCAGGAAGCACTTTCAGAAGTTTAAGCTTCTACTTGCTTTGAAGCCACAACAGCAAGTGGCCAGTGAATCCTAAGGGCCCCGCATCTTTGGGCCCACAGCACCGACGCTCAGTGGGAAGCGGCAAGCCAGGGAAGGGCCCCTCAGGCTCCCTAGAGCGGTGCATGGCTCTCTCCCCCATCACCCGGGAGCGGCCCAATCTGGTCCTAACTCTCCTCCCTACCAGTGCCCCCACATTGCTCTGGGGGATCCCTGTCCTCTGTCCTGGCTACCCCGTTGGTGCGCCCAGGAGCCCGTGGTTGCACGGAGGTGACAGGCCCCTCATCACACAGCAGACTGCCCTCGTCCATCTCTTCGCCGGCCAGTCCGTCCAGGGAACATGCCTTCGTGCTGTCCAGAGCCTGGTGAGCCCTGTTGTCCGCAGGCTCCACGGGCTCCCCTTCGCCCTCGGAGATGACGGTCATGGGGCTGCTCTGGATGCGGTTTCGCACCCCGTACCTGCTGCTGGCCGCAGAGGGGGGCGTGCGGCTGCGGCCGTACCTGGGCCCGGAAAAGGACAGACTCCGCGGCATCAAGCCTTCGTTCTTGGCCCACTCCTCCTGGGCCCTTCTGTTCTTGCTCGGGGAGCAGCTTGATGGGCTCTCGGGGGTGTCTGGCGCAGGCTCGGACCTGGACCTCTGGAACCGCGGGTCTGTGTTCTTGAGCATCTCTGCCGCCGACATGCGGGCGCTGGCGTCGGAGCGACTCCCCTTTTTCAGCAGCAGAGCTTTGAAGTTGTCGCTGCTGGTGCTGCTCTTGCGCACGCTTCTCTGAATGGACCCCACTTGCTTCGGAGAGGCCAGGCTGGGGGTAGCGCCCGTGGGTGTCACTGGCGGGGAGGGAGAATGGTTTCGGGAGTGATCGTCCTCCGAATCTTTACGGCCAAGGACTTTCCTTTTGGATCTGAGATAACATTGAGATAAAGGTCATTTCTCAGTACTCTCCGCCACAGTCACCCTGCCGCTCTAAGCACACCTTCAGTTACTTAAGATTTGTTTTAAATAAAAAGTATTTTAACTATGGGAAACTTCAACACCCTGGGGGGAAAAAGTTTGCTGTATTCCTATGAGTCCCTAATGGTCCATGATGATCATCAACTGTGGCCACTCTCCACTCTCACAGACCTCAGGTATGAATTACCTAACACGTATAGGTCCATTTCCGATTTTCAGTAATTGCCACTTTTCAGCCAACGCCCCTAGACTGGGCTGATCCCAAGTGAACTTCTGTTTACCCTGCTCGCTACTCCTGCTTGTCTTGGTGGGTGCTTGTGCCTGAACAGGCCTAACAGATGAGTGGTCCCCATAATATCCTCTAAACTAAGACATGACCCACATTTTAGAACAACTCCAGGGGGTAAAAAAATGACACTTTCTGTTATTCTAGAGTTTGACATAAAATTCATTTCCCTCTGCTCTTACAACCTCTAGAAATCTAGTTTTACAGAAAACAAAAAAGCCAACTGTGCCACAGACTTTCATGACTTTAGGAAACCTCACACTGATCAGATAGAAAATAAGAGGGATGGGGCAATGTGTGCAAGAGGAGAGGCTGATCAAAGGAAGTATAAGGTTTTCTGTGTGAAGTCTTGCTTTGGGTCTCTAAAAATCTCCCATTCAATGTGCACATTAGTGCTGGGAAACAAAGAATGTGGCAGATGGGCCAACTGCCCCTTCATCATCTTCACAGATAGTTACTCAGTGTGTGACGTCTCTTCAGCTAACTGTGGGTGGACTTGCTATAAGGAGTCTTGACACTGTTAATAAAATAAAGACATGGGTATTTCTTTTCTCCTGCTACTAAATTCTAGCTCAGGTAGCAGGTAAAGTTTGAGAGTATGGTAATGGCACACACTGATTAAGAGGTGAATCAGAACACTAACAACCTTCTAGCTTGTAAGCTGGGGCAAGGTACCCATGCCTGCTGCACCTCAGTCCCTGTACTTATGGGGATGTTTGCTGGATGAGATGAGGTAAAGAATCTCTGGGGTCACACAGCCTAGGTTAAATCCCACCTCTAAAGATTTTCTCGTTGTGTGATCTTGGGCAAGTTATATTTTCTATTTTGTTATCTATTTAAAAAGAGGAAACAATAGTGTATAGCTCATTTTTTCTTAATAAAGATCAATGCTATATCAGCCATCAGTGTCAGACCAGGAAGATGTGCTTAACAAAGCTGAGTGCCATATAGGAAAATGAGTTCTTCTTTCCTGCCACCAGTCTGGCCTTACTTTGTATAGGGCCTATGTAGTAAGGCAGAGGGAAGGTTGGGCCCCAGTTGGCTACCCAGGACATATTGGTGTTCCAAGGGTTGTCCTCCACTTTAGGCTGAAAAGAAACTACCAAAGTGGAGGACAGGAAGTGATAAAGACCCAAGACCAGGGTATGAGGGTGGCCAGAGCTGATGGAACATGAGTGCCTATGGTACCTTGGTTCAATGGTCCTGCTCAGCAATCAACAAGAACAGTGGCCTGGTCTAAGTGAATGACCCATGACAGCACAGAAATAAGCACATCTCAGAATTGTAGAAGAGGAGAAGAATTTAGATAGTCCAACCGCTTTGGGTTGTAGAGAAGGTAACTGAGGTCTAGAAGGTGAAAGCTCAGCTGCTTGGGACAGCTGGGACTTGAAGGAGTTTCGTTCTACTTATAGCACATGGCCCCACAACCAACACTGCTTGTCCCCTGAAGCACGCTTTCTCATTTCGGTCCTTTAGGTATTGGTCTGTGGTGTAATTTCTTGTTTGGTTTTCAGATGGTGAAGGTGTCCTGAGGTACATAAATAAGCTACAACTATGCTTGATAAAAGATATGGCCGTTAAGTGTAGATTTAGAATTTAAAAAGAAGATGGGATTTTAGAAAAGCTTTGTTGGTCCTCAAGAGCAGCTGCCCCTTAAAATCAGAATTCAATTTGAACAAATGGATTATTTGCGTATACACACATACTCATGTATACCTAGGTAGGTATGAATTTTAAAGATGTCTATAAGTAGTACTCAAACAGTTAACACTGTCTTAAAAGCTAATTACTTCAATAAATATAAAAACTTCACACCTCAACTGGCATTCTACACTTTCCATCTGGCTTTAAATCTGAAATGAATTCATTTGCATTATAACATTTGAAAGCTGTGTTTCAATTTAGATAGCCTTTAATTTAAATTATGAATTTAGGTGCTGAAGGACATGAAAAAAAAAAAGCCCTAAATATCACAGATTTCAGATAACATCTGCTAACACAGTATTAATACTACAACAGAAATCCATGTGTGTCCTTGCTTTCTTTTCCTAATTCATTCCTAAGGCTACTTGGACTTTACTTCTCTCATGTGTACAACGAATGATACAGACTGGCCAATTTCTACATCTGTAGTAGATGTAACTGTCTAGTAAGAGAAACCACAAAATTTTCAGTTCCTTCTGAAGGTTGCCAAAATAAAATGTAGAAGAGACCTTTGGCATATTTTTAGGAAAAGCATGCAGTCATTTGGCTCCACAACAGTTGGGTTTCCTTGAGACTAAGTATTTAGTACACAGAGCAACCAGGCAACACACATCCTTGGGGCTTGCTATTATAAATATATATTACTATATATTTAGCAACTCAATACATTCCATACTAAATCAAAGACTTTGAGTCTTGGAAGAATTTCCTGACAGTTAAATTCCAATTGGTCTCATTTAATTTAGAAAATATTTATTGAGTGCTTATTATGTGTCTAGCATGGTTAAAGTTAGAAACATCTGTGTAAACTTCTAGAAATGCCACTAAATTTGGCTTAAAAAGATGAGATATTTTTCATTTCCCTGTTTTGAGAAGTAGTTGGATAACTAGCTACTTTTTCATTTCTAATGAGATCAAGAAGCCAGTTGGAAAATGTTGCAGGGGGCAGTCTTTAGGGTCTATTACACCAATATTTAGGCTGGGAGGCAAAGAACATAATTCTTCACATATTCCTCAATTTGCCAGCTTGGCTTCTCCCAGGTTACATGTTTATATTTGAATAAGGAGTTCCAGGTAAGGACAGCACCATTTTTACGTGTCATGTAACAGGTTTTGTTTTTTTTTTTTTTTTCAGCTAAATTCCAAGAATTCAAGGTCAGTGCTGACATGGCTGTTTATGTACAGAATCAAAGGATTTTATGCATGCTTTATTTCAGGAGGAAAAAAAGGACCTTGGATCAGGGGGAAAAAGAGGTCTTGACAACATAAGGGCATTCATAATGGTTACCCCAAAAATCTGAAAGTCTCTGATAAAGAAGTCTAGAAGGAAGTAAAAGTTTTATGTATCATTATGGCCTAAAATACTTGCACATGGATATTCTTATCAATTTTTATAATGACATTATTATGGGACCACTGAGGTATAACCAGAAAAATGATGCAGCAAATGAAATGTTAGTGCTCAATCGCATTCACTCTTAAGGTGACCGCATATGAAAAACTAATAGTTTAGGCAGTTTATTTTGAAAAAATGAACCTATACTTTTTTAACTCAACAATTTCCAATGCCAGTAGATGGCACTAGTGGCATATGGTAAAAAGCAAATTTAATTCCTTTGCTCCTGCTTAAAAAGAGATGTACTCTTATTGAAACATTTAAGGACCAAAGAAACTATACCATAAAATTATGGTTTTTCTGTAAAATGGAAAAACATAATAATAAACTAAACACCCTTACGAAGGGAGCTCTGTAGAGCTAGTCTGTGCCTCCTAAGTCCAGTGCCACAGCGTTTCTCACCTGACCTGGATCACCAGCTGCTCTAATCTGATTCTTGTAAATACACTGTCATATGACTGACACATTGTCTCTTGCCACAGAGCAGTGTCTACCCAGAAATCATCATATTAAGACTCTGTTCCCAATATCATTGTCAAAATCAGTGAACAGAGTAAAACAGAAATTGGAGTCAGAGGAAATAAAGGCACAGAAAGAAACGCACTAAAAAATTAATAATAAAGTCAATGAGCTGAGACTGGATGGCGAGAGAAGCGTCAAGAAAACAAAGTAGAGGAACCATTTGGAAAGAAGGAATTATAAAGAGAATTAAGGAAGGAGTTGTGATACCTGTGAATAGCTGCGAAAAGGTCTTCTGTGGTCCTGGGTCTGGTGGGGGTCATCACCTCGTCACTCCCATCCCCCTTAAGGAGGAAGTCGCAGGCTTCTGAGGAGGAGCCGGCAGCATTGGTCTCCAGTGCCCCAGCTGAGAGAAGCACACGCGCAGGCGACACAAGATGCACAGTGACTAGAATTTCAGTCCTTCGCCAAGCTCTGAAATATGCTGCTTCCCTGCCACTCCTGACAATCTAAGAACCACAGGGAATGCAGCAGGCTCTATAGTTTGTGATTTTACAAAGATGGGGGAAATGACACCAGCCTGACAGCCAGAACTCATTCTTTTCTGTTACAGAACTTGTACTGAATTGCTCTTAAATTTTAGAACATTTCTTTGCAGCTCTTCAGAAGGGAGATTACTCAGTGCTATTTCATACCTAGCCTGCTGCAGACCACCCCCACTTCCCTATTTTATATCATTCTATAAGCTCTTGCATTAGACCTGAGTTTTAAAAATATTTCATAAAATGAAAAGTTGGTCATTTAATGTTTAAGAAGCCCACCCACTGCTTTACCATAAATCTTATCTGGTCTACCCGGGTTCCACATGAGAGCATTCAGTAGCCCTATTTGGCTCAGCTGCAGATAGATGATCAGAGGTGCACAGCAAGGGAAGCCAGACTTACCTTCTCCCTCCTGTTCAGAGAGGCAGCTCTCCGCATTGCCCCCACCATCCACACTGTTCACGGCTGGCTCTTCCTGCGTGGGGGCTGATAAGGCATCAGGCTGTACCATGGGGACATTGGCTTCCACTCTGCTGGGATACAGGGATCCTGCAGCTCCTCCCTCCAGAACTGAGCTGCTGGGGTCCGTAGCATGAGAACCGGCTGGGGCTGCAGAACTCTCTTTTGCCTCTCTGCTGTGCACAGAAACCTCCTCTGCCCGGATGGGGTTTCGGAAGACTTCCCTCCTGTTCTCCGAGGGTTCTGCAGCGAAATCTCTCTGTGGAGGTGGCACCACCAAGAACAGTTTGGGTTTCTTGGAGATGGGAGGTGGCTTCCTGCTGGGTGAAGAGTCTGGGAGAGGGACAGTGCTGGGGCCAGGCAGAACCTCTGCTTCCTCAGTGCCCAGCCCAGGACTTGGAGCCCCATGCCTAAGGCTCAGAGGGCTGCCATGCTCCGCTGCGCTGTCATGGTCACCCTGACTTGGGTTCTTGGCAGGCGTTGGAAGCAAGCTTGTCACAGAGGCAGGCTGGCTTTCACTCTCCATTTCATTTATGCTATTTCGGGATTTCAGGAAAGCAGATGGCTTTAAGTGATACTGTGGAGCAGTCGGAGCTCGTTGTTCCTGAGCCACTGGTTCAGACAACAGAGCTACCTCGGTGCCCGAGTTCTTTCTCACGGGCCTCAACTGCACCATCTGTAGTGCTTCCGTGGTGATCAGGGGCAGCGGTGGTCTGCTGTTCTCCTCCTTGTTTGAAGGCCGCCTCAAGGACTCCTGGGAGGACCCCAGCTGGCCAGAGCTTTTGAAAGAAGGCCTGGTGTCTTTCATGAATTTGGGGTCAAGTGGTGGAGCAGGTGGGGGGCCTGAGCTGGGTGAGAAAGGTGGAGGCAATGGCAAGGAAGCCAAAGAGTCTTGAGGGAAGGGGGGAGGGGGGAGGCACCCGTCAGGGGGGCAGCCGAAGGGGGTGAGAGCTTCTGGGGGTGGAGGGGGGAACAGAGGAGAGTGAGGCAGAGGAGAGCCCTGGGAGCAATCTGCTGAAGGAGGAGGGGGAGGAAGAACAGGGGACTTGTCAGCAGGATATGGAGCTGGAAGAGGAGGAGGAGGAAGAGGAGGAGGAGGAGGAGGAGGAGGAGGAGGAGGAGCAGCAGTAGCAAGGGCCGAGGACCCTGCTGAGTCTGACTTCTTCACAGTGCCACTTCCTTCAGTAGAAGTATTAGAGGAGAGAGAAGTGGACGATGAGGACACGGACACAGAAGAAATCAGCGAGGATTTCCTTTCTGGTACCTTGGGCTTGGCCTTCACCTTCCCATTTGCTGGTGACGCCGATTTTAAAAACACAGGCACAGGGGTGAGTGCTGTGGGTGTATTCGACTGGCTGGAATACCCACTGGACGGAGAAGTGACTCTCTGTGACTTCTCCGGTGATGTGATCTTTGGTTTGACTGGACCACCAGGCACTTGGGGCATTGTGGCCCTGGACCCCTCCTGGATGTGGCGGACTGGCCCGTTTCCAGTTGGTGCCCCGCTGCTGCTGGCTGAACAGCCCCCTGCTGGGTTCCCCGGGTCTTCTTGCACGCCTGTGTAGTCGATGTAGTAGCCCCAAGGGTCTGTGTACTCTGACTTGACACTGCTTGTGTCGCTCTGTGAGGGTGTGACCCCGCACAGGGAGTACATGTTGGGGTTGGTGGTGGAGGTCATGCTGCTGCCAGCGCTGACTGTGCTCTGGCTCCGGGAACGGGGCAGCCAGGGCTCCTCAAAGTCACTGCAGGGGCTCTGTGAGGGTGAGCTGCTGCCCTTGCCTGGGAGGCTCAGCTGCAGCGAGTGCTGAAGTGTGGCAATGAGGCTCTCGTTGAGCACCTGCCCGTTAGACTGGGTCTTCTTCGGGATCCTGCGGAGAGAGTCCGTCCGGGAGGGTGGCAGGGGAGGTTTCTTTGCTTTCTTCAAAGAGATGTTTCTAGAAAATGTTTTATCATGGTAATGTGGCCGGTCCCCTTGGCTTTTCTGAGACTTTCCATCGAAAACATTGACCACGCTGTGCCTGGGATTCCCAAAGCCATCGCTGCTGCTGCACAGAATCCCAGACCCACGACCAGGGTCATCGTGTATGGATGTGGAGTAGCCGTCGTGATCTTCTGAATACAAGGACCTGGCATCCTCTTTGATGGATGTTTGGTCTAAACTGCAGCTACTCATGTTACTTGTGGGGGTGGAGTAACCAGGAGTGGCCAAATGTGGCTTCAGTGGAGATGCCCGCCCGTTGCCAGAGGTTTTGTATTCCCAAGGCTCTGAGCTGCCATGCCCTCTCTCCCCTGAATAACTAGATTCACTCTTCCCATCCACATCCTGGGGGTGACCCGGGAAGCTCAGGCTGTTTCTATAATTATAGGGCATGGCTCGGGACCCATTCTCCCTATCTGCTGGGGCATTTAGTGAAACCTCTGAATCACAGAGGGACAACAGTGTGGTAGCACCAGGAGAATGATTATCTAAGGCCATGGAAGAATGTCCCTCACCCCAGTGGCGACTAGGGGCCTGATGATCCTCTTTCATAGCGTGTCTGGAGACGAGGTGGTCTCTGGATTTCATCTTGGAGTATGAGGATGAGCCGGTCATTTTACTGTCCAGCTGCCCTGCACTCTGAGCAGTGTGAATAACAATGACCTCGGAAGAGGACAAGAGCGTGGCATTTGGGATGATGCTGGTAGAGTAGGTGGCGTGAGGAGAAACCACACACGCTGGGCTGGTTATGTTTTCACTCTCAAGGTGCCTCAGCTCCTGGGATTTGGGCCTCAAAAGTGGCCCTGTCCTGGAGGCACCTCCTAAATGTCCTAAGTTTTCATCTCCTTGTGAGTGAGCCCTCTGGTAGCGGAAAGTGCCCTCCATGTCTTCTGTAGGGCCCAGGGCACCCAGTCTTGACTCCAGGGAGTGAGCGTTCGCTCTGGCTGCAGAACGTGGAAGACTGTGGAAGCCGGCATCGTTGTTGAGACGGGAAGGGCCCACAATACCCGCCGAGTCACTCAGCACAGACATGTTGCCCGAGGAGCCTGAGAAGTGGCTCATCTGGGCAGCAATGCCAAGCCCCTTATACGCCCTGATTCTTCTCATGGAAGGAGGTACAACTTTCATGTCCTCAGTCTGGCAGCTGGAGTCCTTGGTTTCTGAGCGCGGCCCAGCAGACCGGCAGTTATCAAGCCTTCCTAGCGTGGAGTAGTGGTCTGGGGTGTACACTGAGTGGCCACCAACATCATCTTGGCCAGCGCCCAGTGCTGGAGAGAAAGCAGAAAGAGGCTCGTTACCTGAAAATAGGAATCTACAGGTTGTCACCTGTATCCTCAGCCCCTTCTGATTCTGTTGTAATTAGAAAAGGTTCCCCCCCACCCCAATTTAGTTCTTTTTTTTTTTCCTCCTGTACGGACCTAACTGAATTTAAATTGGTCCAGATATCTTCTAAAATAAAAACCCTTATTATCAACTTCATACATTTATTTTCTCTTTAACTTGTACTTCAAGTCTTCCCCTTACAGTTCGAGAGCTGCATGTAGAATTCTCAGACACTCCCTTTGAGACCAAGGCTGCTTGGTCTTCAATGCGCCCTTTCCCCCACCAGGGGATGGCCTAGCAGTGACCCAGAACTATCTAGTCATGACCCTCTTTCCCCCCAAGAGATGAGTGTACTAGTGGAACAATAGGGCCACAGACATACCATATATGAGGGATATTGGTATAAAATTGTGTTAATTACATCTGATTCTTTATGTCAGGAGGAAATCCTAAGAAAACGAAAATTGATGTACAGGCCCATCTGTGTTTCAAACATTTCATTATCCATCTTAAGCCATTATCATCTGTCTGTTGGTGACATTCAAAATTCAACAGCAATCTGTTGTGTTTTGGTGCAGAGAGAGCAGCAGGAACTGATCCAGTGAGCATTTCCTCAAATTAGGATTATTCATTTCTTGGAGTCTTACAACCAGAGAGTAGTATGTTAAATAGAAGGAAATAATCATGCAGAAAGAGAAGGAAGCGGACATGAAAAATCGTTCAGTATAGATACACAGATGTCAAGCCACCCAGAAAAGAACAGAGATTAAAAAAAAAAAATTGTGAAGCCAAGAACTTACTCGAAGTGTACTGAGAAAATGAAATCAATTCTTAGAACAAGTTAAATCTTTAAAAATAGTAGCAAAACCATGGTTCTATGTTGTTTGTCTTCATTCAGTAAGAAATATATGTGGGGACATAGCCAAACATAATTATGTATGAACAAAATGATCCTCTCTGATTCTAGAAAATCAAACCTTGTAGCACAATATTCAGATTGATTTCTGTGTAGTTTTCAGAGTCAGGAAAAAAATTCAAAATTTTGTCTGATTCATTTAAATGAAAGGCAACAAATTAATCCTCAGATAAAACTTGGAAGTAAATATTCAAGATCATACTTGGATTTTTAAAGTGCTGTATGCTGGCTAGTATACAGAGTCCAGTATTTATGGATTCTGAAGTAAAAACTGCATATTTCTAAGCAAATAAATCACTGTAATTCAAGGAAGTATCCTTGTATGATTATGATTATGATTATGATTATTATTATTATATCCAATCCCTGCTACCTGGGCAGTGTGGAGAACAAGGTATCTTTCCCAATTGAATGCTTTTCCTTTAGAGAATCATTTCATTTTTTGTCTAATTTATCTAGCCATATTTTCTGGTGTTTTCTATCTAGATGAAGACCAATTTAAAAGAAACAGTAAAGTGTCTATTTCTGATAATCATTAGGTAAGTAGTACAAACTTGCAAACCACAGTTCTCATAAGTCCAGAATGCTGGGAGACATGGCAAGGTAAACTAGAGGTCTCAAAAAGATGGGGCAAAAATATAAACCAATATTTTTGCTTAATTAAACTCTATTCAAATGTTACTTTCCCTCATTCCATCTATCAGTCTTTCAATTAATCTATCTATTAGAAATTAGAGTCACTAGTTGTCTATTAAAAAAAAACTAGCTCTAGCTTAGATACAGTTGTCTCAGTGGCTCCAACTGTCATTCAGGACATGCCATCAGCTGTGCAATGACTCTGTCTCGTGTCTGGCAACAGTCACAACACAAATGATGAGGGGAAAGCTATTTTCTTTCCTCCACCATTAGTGGTGGTTCCTTGTCACACGCAGAAGAGAAATGAATACAGGTTTCAGGGACCCAATCATCAATTTAAGAAATATTAAAATTATAGAAGCTAAGATTTCCCTAGCTGGACAGGTCACTGTAGTAAGATCCAAGTGGTAACTGAGTTACCGACTCACACTGTGAGTTCTAAGTGGTGAAAGTTTGTAACTGTTAGGTTCCAGGCTTCATATCACATGTCATATATGGTACATACATCATAGGTACTTATGTGTATGTACATCTTATTCTTCCACTTTTTACACAAAGTCATCCAGCACTTACTTATCCCAAATGGAAATCCACTTAAAATGCAAATTACCTCAAAACATCAACCTTGTTATCTTACAAAAGTCCTAACTGTTTGTCCTTAAAGTCACTCCTTTGGGTTAAGGCACATCTCCTAAAAAGACCAGCTAAAGTACATTACCTGAGTATGATGAGGAATTAGCCTAGTAAACACCTGCTGAGCATATCAGTACAATCTCAAATGTGTTAGCTGTCTCAAGAAGAAAGAGTCTGAAAGAATAATCCACAGCTAAGTGTTGAGAAGGAGAAAGCACAGGTGACATTGAGGCATAAGTTTGGAGAAGGTTCCTGGAGGACTCAGGTAGCACAGGAGCAGCAAGCTGCACGAACCAAAGACAGACTTCTCAAATTCCATGGGCGCAGTCGCAGCCCTGCCTTCATTTCTACCAAACCCTTCAGTTATGGAATGGGACAAGCTCCTGCACACCAAGTGCGCCTCAGGAGCTACCTACAGCAGAGGCAAAACATTGCTATTCTTGTCCTAATGTTGCTATATTCTAGAAGGTACAGCATAGGTACTGTAGTCAATGGCAGTAAAAGAGAAAATGCCAGGTAAAGAGGAACGTGCTCTCCCCACTCCCAGGCATTAAGCAGGGGTGATGGGGGAAAACGTTTGTGGCACTGGAAGCTAAAATGTGACTTCAAAGTACTGCAATAGAAATATCACTATTGTTCAGATACACTCATTTTGACCAAAAGACTAGTAGGCAATTTCAGAAACCACGATTCTGAGTTTCCAGAGTATAACCTTTAATAGTAAATCAAAGTAAATAATATAAGGCAAAGGAACCATGAGGTCATAACCCACAGGTTGGAGAAAGAGGAAGAGACAAATTTCAAGATAGGTAGCATTATGTTCTCCATAACGACAACAATGGCTACTACATTAATAGTAATCCCAGGAACCAAGTACATCACATGCAGAATTTCACTTAGTCCTCAACTAATCCCATAAAGTAGACCCAGTCATATCACTACCCCATTTGTGGGATGAGGAAGTAGACTCAGAGGGGTGATGTAATCTCACCCAGAGAATAAGTGGCAGAGTCAAGATTCCAACTGAAGCAGTCTAGTGCTGGAGTCCTGCTCCTGACCTAGGAGCTAAGCTAAACTGCCCCTGTGGACGTTCCTGCAGGGCCTTGTTAAAGGACAGGGAGAGAAATCTATTACAGATTAGAGAATGAAAGGATTATCCAAAGGGCATAAAAAGATAAGCACAAGGACGTCAGGTAAGCCAACAGTGAATGAAACGACTTTTTCCATCAGCCCCCATTGGTTTGATCACAGGTTGAAAAACACAGAATAAAAGAGCTATGAGTTCCACTGATAATAACAAAGGTATCTGACACCCAACGACTATTTTCTGTCATAATGACATTTACGACTATCTCATATTGCTGCCTCTCGTGAAAAAAATGCCACCAGCACGTCAGTGAAAGTACTGAAATCCACCCTCGTAAGGCGAAGTCCAAGAATGAGGTTTTGGTTCATAAGAACTTAAGATCTAAATCAACAATCAGTGTAAATATGGAAATAATCAGTATTCAAGATGCCTAGAGATGACAGCAAACTCCATTTCTATCATCCCACTTACGTTTACACAAAAGCTCTTCCCTGCTATCTTGTCCCCAAAATGCAGTAAATCATCTGCATGGGATGTAAGATTTGCACCTGGTGCCTCATGAGGAAAGAATCTGGCCATTAGAACATATGGATTTGACCAGCACCACACAAGGTTAGCTGAGTAACGCCGAGCAGCGAGGAGGGCAACGGAATGCAGTTCTACGAGCCATACCTAGCTCCTTCTGAATGTTGTCTGGGACTCCTGTAATAGTCTTTCTCCTTTTGACTTTCTTCGGTCGTCTTACCAGAGTGTCTGTGTAAATTAGAGACCGCCGAAGGCTGGCCTGGCGATCGAAATTCTCCCCTAATGCAGAGCAGTAGAACAAGCAAAGCAATGTTATTTTCAAGCAAGCTGACACCATGCACTTTCTTTCCAGAAGCTGGTTGTAAAATGATAAGAAGGGATTAATAATGATGTTAGCCAGTCATACGATGATGAATGCTGAAGGGCGAAAAAGGAGGGGAAGCACATTATCATCATAAGGCTGTTTTCCAATTTCAGGGTGTATGTCCTTCCAAAGGACACACGTTGATCTCATCTTCAAATGAGCCAGAGTAGCAAATATGAGTTCGTTAGAACACAATGAAAGAGTGATTCTGTGTCATTTTAAAAAAATGAATATTTTGGATTCCTCTGGCCACCCACATCACTCTTTTTTTTTTTATTGGGGGCAGGGTACTAGGGATTGAACTCAGGGGCACTCAACCACTGAGCCATATCCCCAGCCCATTTTTATATTTTATTTAGAGACAGGGTCTCACTGAGTTGCTTGGCATCGTGCTGTTGCTGAGGCTAGCTTTGAACTCACAATCCTCCTGCCTTAGTCTCCTGAGCCATTGGGATTACAGGCATGGGCCACCGTGCCTGGCTACCAACATCACTGTCTACATCAGCACGTATGTGGTAATGGCAATAAGTATGCTTCATACATCTGGTCATCCAGCAGAGACCAATATAATATCTCATCTTTTGTGATGACACAAATAATCAAGAGTCAGAGCTTTTTCTTGAATCAAGGAGGCTGATAATTTGGAGAGGCTGTAGGAATGCTTCGGTGTGAGATTCAACTGTAATGAAAAGTGAAAAGCCTTATAATGATAAAGTACTGAGACCCAGTAGCACTGCTGTTGTCAAAGCTGAACTGCTTCTCTGGTTCATGATCACTGTTGAAGGTTAACCTTAACTTAGACAATCAAACCTGGAATGACACATCCACAGGACTCCATTCTGTATAAGCTGGTGTAATTAACACACCACAGGAAACCATCAAGTAATAAAATTTGTAAAAGTTCGGTTACTGACTGGTCTATTTTAAACTACTTGCCAGTTATAGCACTGACCTTTTTACATGGTTATTCTCCTCAAAAGGAGAATTTTAAAAAATACATATTTACACACAATCACATATTTCTATCATTCTTAGGCACAAGTATAAAAAAAGTCACTCTTTTTAGCAATACTGAAACACATTCGTAATAGTATGCTGTGGACGACATAACTTCTGTCTGGATAGTAATAAATTGTGCACTATGCAATCAAAACAGAATAAAAGATCTGAACGATCAAAACATATTTCAACAGACTTAAACAAACGCTGGCAAACTTGCAAATTCTTGCAACTTTGTTCTGAATGGAGAGAAACAGAAATGATTGAGAGAAGAGCCTGAAACACCAGAAGGTACCACTGTTGTGATAAATGGGTCATTTATATGCAACAGCACAAATGAGGCTTAAAGGGAGCCAGTCATGACTTCAGTGGTTCATTAGTTCTCTGCAGCAAAAGAAGAAATCCCTTGTACCCAGACATTAAGAATGGACAAAACATTAACAGAAAGTTGCAGCTAGTCTCCGGTTTTACTTCTAAGACAAAAACAAAAGGTAAAACCACCCAAGCTTCAAGGAAATGAAGAAACCATATGAGGACATTCATCTACAACATACACCATTAAAGGCATTTACTCTCCACCTTGAATGGTGACCTAAAAAGATGACCTCACCTGCTGGACTACCCATTTCTTGAGAGTAGAGACAATGAGTCATACTTTACCAGCCTCTATGACCTAATGCCTGGCACAAAGTAGTTATTCAATAAACATCTACTGAATTGAATCACTCCCTTTCATTGAAAAATGGCATTTGATTATTCATGGTTTGTATTTAGAAATAAACTTAGGCAGCATTAGGAACCAAGGCAGTTTGTAAATCATTTAAGTATATTCACTCACTCTACTTATCTTCCATGTAGAAGAGTTGTTATTCCATATGGCAGATTATGGAATGAATATATATATGTTATTTTAAATTACTTGCCAGTATGTATGTATATGTGTGTATGTATACACACACACACACACACATATATTCTTTTTAATCTTAAATATTTTTTTCTCTTCAATTTTTAGAACAGGTCAGGTCCCCATAGGATAAAAACTAAAAGGGATTGAATCACATTTCAAGCCAGCATTCCACTGTGCTGATGTTCTATACCTCTAGGTCTGGTGGGCTTAGCTCTGGGTTTGAAACAATATATTTATGTTGTTTATGCCATTTTTTTTCCTGCTGAGTCTTACGGAAAATCAGACTAGAGATCAATCCTCACTCAAATTAATGAGCACATGATTCCTTTCAAGAAGCTTCATATTTACCTCAGAAATCTTCTAGGACTTTAGAAATATATAATTTACACAGCAGGGAACTGTATAAACTATATCAGTTCAACCAAAGTGAAATTTTGAAATTTTATTGCTTTTTAGACCAGAAACAAGTCCTTTCAGAAATACAGGTGTGTATGTGAACATACAGATCAAGAAACTAGATCAGTAAGTATGTAATTATTATATTTAATTTTATCATTTCTGTAAACGTCCATGACTCAGTTAAAAACAAATTATATTTTGACATAACTTATATTGCTCTTTTTTTTTAAACTATTATTCACCTTTCCTAGGTGGCACTTAAAGGTCTTCTTTTAAATGCAATGTAATTCATGTACATTTATTCATCAAGCAGGAGAGAATTAAAACTCAAAGATGTGACACCATCTTCTGTTGTGACAATTTATTTCATTGCAAATAATTCTTTATTCCTAGAATGCTAGTTACTCTATTTTAAAACCCCCTAATCTCAAGATAATGCATTTCATCCTAATTCTATTAAGAATTATCATATTTCATTGAACAGTCTTCTTATCTCATAATATTATTTGAGACATTTAATCATCTATAATTACATTTCTGCTGCATTTAATCAATCAAATAATGTCATTCTTTTTCTAATAGAAAATATGAGTCCCTGTATTTCACCAAGCAGTGAACACTATCCATTGTTATTTCATTCTGCAACAAAACTACTTATAAAAATAATCTTTGAAAGGTATGAGCTACGTGAAGGAGAAACACATCATGAAGATCAACAATGCTATTTACACAGAAAATAGAGTAAGACATGCTGTTTCTTTGAGGTACAAGTGTGAAAAATGGATATGGAATCAAAAATCATTCATGCCCTTTTTAATTAAATTTCCATGGAATTCAAAATAAGAGTTTTGAACGTAACTTTGGAATATTCTGCAATGGTTTCTTTTTAAGCTTCAAAAATTATAAAAACGTTATCAGTCCCTATAAGCTCACCAAGCCATGGCAAAAGGCTTCCTAAAAGGAGTAGCCTCAGAAAATATCAAAGAGTTATGGCTTTCAGACTCCTTTTTAATGAAAAATTATCTATTTTTCCACCGAATTGTTTTAGGGCCTACACAAGCCATGCTTTGTGTGGACTGATTACCAATGACTCCTGCAGGGACTGCTGCTCATCTATTTCTACAGAACACACTTCGGTGGGAGTTGGTGCTAGGAATTCTACCCAGGGCCTGTGTAAATTAAGCATGCTCCATTCCTATTAACTCTTACCATTCCTTTTTTGGATTTTATATCTTCCCCAAACCACTGACCAATTCCTCCTTTAGCTACAGAAAATTTGTGAAAGATCATCTTTAAGTTTGATGTCCCTCATTATTTATCACTTTAATTATCAGAAATGATTAATGGCTCAGTACAATATTCCATAGTTTCTGATTTAGCAATTAATTTTCACATCCCAAGCTAATGTAACATACTCTAAAAACTGTTTATTCAGTAGCAATGCATTTTTACTTGAAGATTGTGTAATTCAAATTATAAAAATTAGAATATAATTTTATCACCACATTGAAATCTTTTAGAATATGTTATAGTTACTGATTCATTTGATATTTTTATTTCAAGAATTTTTGCCCTTTTTTACTTAAGGAAACTAGAAGGTAACAAGAAAATCTACCAGAAACATCACAAAATAATTATTTCTTCACTTCTACAAATATTACTTAAAGTAACCCTTCAGAAGGGAGTAGGAGGGAATATCTATTTTCTTTCTCAACCAGGACCACATTGAGAAGATGTTCCTATGTACCCAAAATCTTAATAAAAAGCCATACAATTTAAAAAGCCATGCTTTAGATGAAAGGTTGAACCATCGACTTCTTTGACACCAACCTCTGGTGACAAAGTCATCTGATCTAACAGACAACAGATATTTTGCATGCACGCACATATGTAGTTTTAGTATTCCCTTCATCTGATGAAGAGCTGAGGTCAGACCATAGTTATTCTCTTTGGTGTAAAAGTGAAATGCTAAGAAGTATATAACCAACAAAAATCCACAGACATTCTCCCAAGGACTTTCTCAATCTGTCTACCCGGCAAGGCGTACCAGTTATGTTAATGGGCACCACGTCAGCCTGGACCGTTTGGGCTTGCTGGCGCATCTTCTCTTCTGGTGTTGGCAGTGGCAGTGACTTGGTCCAGTTGGTCTGAGTGTTAAGGTCAGAGAAGTCACCTGAGGTTGGCGTTTTAGGTCTTCTGATGCCAATAAGTCTTTCTTCTGATGAAGAAAGAGAACACTGCAGAGAAAACAAGAAATCACAATGTGCAAAAAGCTGGCAGGAATGCTTTTTAATAATATGTTTTATTTTGAAAAATTAGACTGATTTAAAGAAAGCCAAAGAACTGAGCACATTTCACAGAAGCAATGATTTGCAAGAAAACTGCATCCTCTTGAACAGAACCCATAATGTATATGATTCACCCTGGCCCTGGCCTGTAAATTGTGAGGACTGCAGAGGGTATTGCTGATCCACAAAATCCTTTATGTTCTTCCAGTTTCCCCTGTTTTTGCTGTGGACAGAAAGCTCAGAAGCCTACAGAACATCAGGGCTTCAGCCATTAGTGTCCATTTGCATGAAAATTTAGATTTGCTCAGAGTAATTTATAGCCTCAATCTTATTTCCTCTACGCTCTGACCTCAAAGAACATTTAAAAAAATGATAGAGCTATTGTTGTTCAACTCTGTGAGCTCTTCTGAAACCATTTTTTTTTCTGGGAGAAAAAATCAGTGTGAAATTGTTGAATTAGAAGAAGCTGACGAAAGTCCTTCTTCTGAGCCTTATCAGAATTCCACAAAAGCATTTCTAGCAGTGTCTGTTTTGATACAGGTTAACATCCTCACTCAAGAGCCCTTCTTCCCACAGCACCTTAGAAAGTGTAAGTAAGAAAGTTGTGTTGGCAAGCATTTTATGAAGGACTTTGACTTTGGTTCGTGGGCAGCTGATTCTGTGACAAGATGAACTCAGAATAAATGCAAAGAGCTTAGAAACAACAAAAAAGGTAATTGACTTTTGTGGGGAAATGGCAGTTTATGATATACAATAAATGTATACAAACTGTTCTTCAAGTCTAAGACACTCAAACTGAACTACCACTTATGAAATCAGTCTACACCACTCCCAGCCACCCACTCCAGATGAGGGTAGTTGCTCTCAGCCGTCTAACACCACAGCTGTGTCCGGCCTGTACTTGAACTTTCTATAAGAGGAATATGCTGTTTTTCTTTTGTGATTCAGGTTTGTGAAGATTTATTGACCTTTAAAAGGCACATTTTAAATGTGCTGGATTTAATGTAGCTTTCTAAGAAGACATAGGAAAGAAATATGCAAAAATGCATCAATTAGAAATTTCAAACACAACTGTCATCACTACCTATTGTTTCTGAATTTATCTTGATGCAAAATATCTGTATGTACTTTACTACTACTAGAGCACCACAAATTTGACAAATATTACAAGGGTAGGGTCCTAGACCAAAAATCCAAAAAATCCTGTTCCAAAACTGTTTCCTTTGATGTAAACTGGGGTGACGCTACTTATCTTCTTCATCCACAGAAGTATTCTGAGGACTTCAATGAACTGATGAAGGTGGAAGTGTTATCACTATGAAATATAATGGACATAAGGGTGGTGGTCATATAAATGACTTTAGAAAAGCAAAATCCAGACATTGACAAGTACCCCTTCTAGAACAGAGACACTAACAATGATAAAGCACTGTGGAAATAAAAACATCTGATAGCACAATCTATTTTTTGCTTGATATTTTTAATATATAAAGCACATAAAAAAGTTTCTTTTCCACCTAGAGAAATTATGAAATTATTTTGTAATTAAAGTGACAAATATACTCAATTTATAAACTGTGCATATGTCACTGATGTCTTTTTTTTTTTTTTTTTTTGGTACCGGGGATTGAACTCAGGGGCACTCGACCACCAAATTATATCCCCAGCCATTTTATTTAGAGACAGGATCTCATTGAGTTGTGTAGTGCCTCACTTTTGCTGAGGCTGGCTTTGAACTCCCCATCCTCCTGCCTCAGTCTCCTGAGCCACTGGAATTATAGGTGTGTGCCACTGTGTCCAGCCACTGATGTCTTTTTATGACATTAAATTGCACCCTATCCATGCAAATCTGATCAGATTCTGGATAAAATGGTTATAACTCACACAACTTGTAAGATAATCAAAGGGAATTTTGAGGCACCAGTTAAGCCCTCTGATAGAAATCGATTAATTCAGCCTTTTTATAGTTCTGACTCTTGTTAAGTTTGACTAATATTCTCTACCTGTAAAATGCACACCACACACATGCACAAATTAAGATTATTTTATTTGAGAATTTTATGGCAGTTCATAAAAGTCACATATCACTGACGTTGACTCTCAATCTAGTAAGAATTTTTAATCTAGTCAGTCTCTAATTTTCTAATAAATGTACATAGAAATGACTTTAAAGGCAACCTTGAAAAATAGCATAAATTCTGAAGGCAGTAGGAAGCAAGTCCCAACCAAAAAAATCTAGAAGGAAAAGCAAAGCTCCAGGTTGGTGAACACAGTAGCTATGTCCTGCAGCAAGGGTTCCTTTTCCAAGTGACGCCATTCACCCAGGAGGGGTGGGCATACTGCTGTTTGGTGCTCAGCAGCTCTACTAACCTACTTTCCTTTCTGTTGGCTGATCATGTGTCAGAATTGATAACTTTCACAATGAAACAGCGCTTTCCTGTAGTATTGGTTGCCAGGGGACAATCACCAGGGATTGCTTCACTATGACAACTGACAGAGAGAATCCATTTTACAAAGTACTCCCTTCTCTTGCAAGAAAACTTATCAGAAGAAGCAGGACTCAAATGCGGTTGTTCTATAGTACCACCATCTGCCCAGGATGAAGCCAGGGTGGGTGGCTGTCAGAACGATACTGTTCCCATTCCTCCTGCAGTTTATAAATGTGAGAGGGGAGCAGGGGAAACCTGCTGTGTCTTAATGGCAGAATATAACACACTAACTCCAGTAAGATGGACACCACTATGGTTCATATCCTGAGTGGCCTCCAAAGGCCCACACGCTGGAGGCTCGCTCTCCAGCCTTGTACAATGGGGAGCTGGCGGGACGTTTAGGAGGAAGGGTCTTGTGGAGGGGTTTTAGGTCACTGGGAGGCAGGTGTCCTCAAAGGGCATTCCAGCCCCTTCCTGTTTTCTTTCTTTTTCGCTCACTGCCTATGAAGTGAGTGGCTTTACCTACCACTGGCTTCTGCATCAACACAGGCCCAAAAGGAATGGGGCCAACCAGCCATGAACTAAAACCTCCAAAACTATGAGCTTAAAAAAAAAAAAAAAAACAACTCACTTTCTTTTATAAGACCTGTGGTATATATGATAGATCATACCATATATTTGTTACAGTGATGGAAAGATGACTAGCACAACGTGGGAGTGCTCTGGAATACTGGCCTCTTATCTAGTTTCCATACTCCGCTGTGTTGACCACCCTCTCTTATTCCTTCCCTTCCAACCATCTAGTCTCAACATAGCACTTAGGGTCTTTGAGCAATGTTAAGTCAGATGTAAGATCATTTTGCTCCTCTGTTCAAACCCTCCAAAGTCTTTTCTATGATCTACGAGACCATACCTGATCTACCAACTGACCCACAGTTCTCTCTCTGACCACATCTCCTACTATGCCTCCTACTCGACCCCCACACCCTCCTTGTTGTTCCTTGTATATCCCATGTACATTCCTGCCTCAGGACCTTTCACTTGCCCCCCCCACACACACACACACTAACCTGAAATGTTATTTCCTTAGATATCTACCCAGGTAGCATGCTACTTCTTTTTCTTCAGGTGTTTACTCAAAAGCCCGTTCTTGTTGAGGGGGACTTGTGTATTCAATTTCAATTTCTTCCCAATATCATATGTTCCCCTTCCCTATTTTTTTTCTTCAATACATATCATTAGTACACATTTATTTTATTTATCCTATTTGTATCTCCTAAGAGACTCTTAGTTTCATGAGGCTTTAAATCAGGATTTCATAGAAAGGTGCTTCAGAATTTTAGCTTTGAAAATTCAGTAACTGCTCTAAGCCCTGCCCTGTATTGTAGTTATTGGCCTTGTCTGATCAAGAAAGAAGCAGGGACTCAGAGAAAGAAAGTTCTCTTCACGTGTGGAAAGTTCACAAGTGGGAAGCTAAGATTAGAACCCAGATCTGGCCCCCAAATCTCTGCTGTGAGACAGTGTCCAACAACTACCTGGCCATATTTAAAATACATGACCAGGTCCTCTGGTCTATAAAGAAAACCTCCTTTTACAGCTCCAAATAGGAACAGAACCTTTAAAAAAAAAATCTATAAAGGGCAGCAGTGTGGCAGAGCAGATGGAGTAAACAGCAGTAGTGCCATTCTCCCGAACCCATCTACCAGCTGCATATTTTGAGCAACTCCATCTCCTGTCGTAGAGAACAGAATGACCCAAGCAGTGTTCATGTGCTTCATGCTAATGAATCCCTCGACACAGGGTGACTCCATTTTTTTCTTATTCTTTTTAAAAATATATTAAGTTTGACACTGCCTTGCCTTCCGAATTTAAATGCAGTTTTTAGATTTACCAATGGGTCAATAATGCTTATCAATGTGCCATACCCTGGTCCTGGAAGGAATGGACAGTCAAAATGGAACCCAAGAAAGCATAATTCCTTGTGTCAAATTTACAAAAGCTACACTGGCAACACCAGCAGTACTCTTCTGGCTTTTGGATGCCACAAGACCTGTATTTCAGAGACCACGAGGTCCTGCCTGGAAATCAGACAAGCTCCCACCAGATGGCCATGGGGCCTGAAATGTGGCTTCTTTGGCAGAACAACCAACTGACACAAAAGTAAGCTTGATTGTGAAGCACAGATTAGCCAGATTTTTTTTAAAAACTTGCTCTGTTTTAAAAATTAGAAAACCGAAACGTAATCAGAGCTAAAACTAGCATTTATTTAGCAGTTATTACATGAAAGTAGATGAAGAACAGAAGAAATTATATTGCATATTATTTAAGACGCCAAACTATATTCTAGTTCTTTTTGGAAGACACCTAGTCTTTGTTGTTTTTCTTCCCAGTATTAAATCTCTCTTGTGTTGACTCTTGATTTTCAAGATCCTAGAGTGTTTCATAAGTTGCCAAAACTTCTACAATGTTTTTTGGTTTCTACTCTCAGTATATTTAGGCATGAGACCCTAACTTAAGTCTGTTCTTCTGTGTTCATTATTCCCACTTATTGCCAATAACAATAGAACAAGTGTGGGTGGCAGAAATGGGATCCACATAGCAGGACAGACACAGCACAGCCACCAACTCCAGGATGGTCAATGGGGGACTTCCACATGCACATTATCAAAGAACTTCAACTAATCCTTTATTAGTTGAAGTTCTTTGATGTGTGTGTGTGTGTGTGTGTGTGTATGTATATACACACATCGCTTACTTATGTAAATTACATAATAATAAAACTATTGTAAAAGAGAAGACTTCTTTTAATATTTTAAAAACCATACGACCTTAAGCAAGGGATTGAATCTCCAACATGCCATTTCCTCATCCATGTTATGGGCATAATCAAAGCTCCCCTGCACGGCAGCTGGGCACTGAGCATACTCAGGCACCTGAGTCTTCCCATGTGCCAGGTGCTCAGCTCAATATTAGAAGCACAGAGCTCAAAAGATCTCCCAGCCAGAAGAGAGGGCAGATATGAAGAGTCTGTTTACAGCATACTGGCACGTGTCCAAGAGAAACCACATGAAGTCACTGGAGGTACCCTCCTTGGTGTGTGTGCACAAAGGCCCCCGAGTGACAAACCCCAATTTTCTCTTCCTCACCTGCAATGGTACAGAGTAATAAATGTGTCATAAATTGTAGAGCAGTGAGCCCACAGCCAGCATTGATATCTCTGTCCTGAAACTATTCACACAGACTCAGTAACAAATGATGATTTTAGAACCAGCATTTCTAGACTATAAACTACCCAGGCCAGGACTGGGTCTGTATCCTGAGACTCAGCAGCACTCACCTATTTATTTATTTTTTTTTTTGATGGGGGGAAGTCACAGATAAAAAAATAAATGAATGCCAGCTAGATCAAAGATGGAATGAGACATGACAAAAGCAGGCATAATAAATGAGAAGCACTTGAGTAGTTCATTAATCTTGCCTTTGATTTAATTAACATCGTGCAATGGAAAGAAATACAAATCCAAGAAGCCCCACATGCATACCTTCCCTCCCTGCCACTACTACCAATGTGATTTTGCAAAAGTGATTTCATATTTCTGAGCCTCACTCTTCAGATCATTAAAACAACAGTAACAACCACTACCATAGCTATCTCACAGGGGATTCTTGTGCAACAGGAGATGTGATTTGTGAAAAGCTTTGAAAATGTTCTAAAGTGTTCTACTACTATTAGAAAGTTAGTAACAGAAATGGGCCAAGGACTTGAACAGACACTTCTCAGAGGAGGACATACAATCAATCAACAAGTACATGAAAAAATGCTCACCATCTCTAGCAGTCAGAGAAATGCAAATCAAAACCACCCTAAGATACCATCTCACTCCAGTAAGATTGGCAGCCATTATGAAGTCAAACAACAATAAGTGCTGGCGAGGATGTGGGGAAAAGGGTACAAAATTACATACAAGAGGAAGTGAGGGGAAAGGGAAAAATAATACAAGGGGGAGGAATGAATTACAGTAGAGGGGGTAGAGAGAGAAGAGGGGAGGAGAGGGGAGGGGAGGGGGGATAGTAGAGGATAGGAAAGGCAGCAGAATACAACAGACATGAGTATATCAATATGTAAATCAATGGAAGT